GAATGGGATTACAGAAAGCTTTTCCAGCCACACAGAAGGGAAGAAAAGTTATAGTTGTGAAAAAGGGGAGCATTTACACCAATAAATAACCAAAAAGACTATAGCTTCCAAAAAACGATCATAGGAGAGTTCTTTTCCGATGAAAACTTGTTGGTTCCTCTCACGCCAAGTCACATTTTTGCTCTTCTCTACCCGATAAATTTCGTAGTGGTTAAACGTTGTTGAGTTTCTCTCTTGATAATTGAGTATTTGGACACCCTGACTAATCTCACGAACCTGAAACTTCAATGTAGGTTTACCTCTTCTTCGTTAGACCAATCCATAGGGGCTAGAATTTGTCAACTATTTTCAATTTATATCTATATTGTGTATGTCATAGGTAGGGAAAAAAGTTTGAGATGGAAAAACCAAGCCATCAAAATCAGAATAGAGCCAACAGATAGTTGATTATTTTATTCACAATGTTTATAAAAGATCTTGTTGCTGTTTTGGACAGTCTTGATTTTGTCATCTTTTAAAAGCATGAACTTGGAATATTCTTCATAGCTGAAACCTAATGGATAGATATAGAAAATGAATGACTACTTTACTTTTTCTTCCTATTTGTACATTCTATAGGTTCAGAAACTGATTCTCCCCACCTTTACAGATGCTGATGACATAAAACATTCTGCTGATTCTGTCTTTTTTCCCTTTATTAAATTGTTGCTATATTTACTCTCTTTGGTTCACATGTTTGGGTTGTTTAAGCGGACGTTAAAAAAGTCGAGTTTCTGTGTCGTATGTGTGTTTGCTAATCCCAAATTATGAGTTTATTTGTTAGGGCCGGTTTACTAGATCAATCAAGTTGTTATATTTTGTCTGTGGCGTTTCTTTTGTTGTTTGTCTGCTTTAGTTGTGTTGTTGACTTTCTTGCAAATGTTCCATTCATGCTTTAGTCCGGACCATTGCAAATATGAAAAGAAAGAAAAAAAAATGGTCATTCATTAAGATAAACCATAAAATAATTAAGTCATTACTCATACGTACCGAGACATTTTCAAAATTTCAAAATTTGATTGGTTCAAGCCCCTTTATACTATATTTCACTTCACTGTCAGAGTTATCTTTATATGGACGTTTTCGGATTTTTCTTCTTTTATCGGATATTAAAACAAATAAATAATTAATTTACGTTGATATCTTTCATATTAGTAATTCATTGTCACTTTAAATTTTGAAAAATCTCACAATTTTGACAACTACTTTGTCAAAAGGTTTGAAAGAGATGTGAAATAACATATGTTGTAGCGTTCAATTTGAAATTAATAAATGCTACCTTGGTTTCAAAATTTCAAAAAGAATAAAAAATAAAAAATAAATGCTACCCTGTGTATAGTTTATACTTTCGACGAAAAGATCGTGCGTTCGAATCTCTCACTTTACATGTTGTACTAGAAAAAAATATATCATGGACAATATTAAAATTACACTAAGAATAAGATGGTATATATGAAAATTTTCATTACACTTTTTGTTACACGAAAAAATTCGTTACATTTATGAGAAGTCTAAACATCCTTATAAAAATTGTTAAAAAAAGGTTTAATGTATAATCTCAATAGAATGACTGATGAAATAATTTTTAAGTTACTTTCGATTTTGTTAAAAAAAGGTTTAAATGACTCATGAAATAATTTTTAAGTTACTTTCGATCTCTGACAATCTTTGACAAAGGAGTAAGATACTTTAACTACTGATTTATGTTCATATTGGAAACATTTAAATATTAATATAAACGACAATGAATTATGTAAATGAAAATTTTAATATTTATATATATATATAAAATGCCATTAAACGACGCTAATATCAGTATAACTTAGTAGTAATTGACATATACTTCATATTCTCAAATTGTTGTATTAAGAAAATGTCATTTAACTACGAGTAGCCAAAATAAATTTTGGCATTTTTTTAAAATCATTTGTATGTCATTATAAAAATTACAATTTGAAATAGAAATGATATTGACAATAATATAATAGAAGTGATTTTAGAAAATGAGTAAACAAATCTGATCAGTTTTCAGGTAAATTAAAATTTTTAAAAATTAAGTGGAATTATTTATTTATTGAGTTTAACAGGAGGGAAATTAAAATTAATTAGGTAAGTTGGGAACATTTGGCATAATTTAGCCTTAAAAAATAAAAAAATACCGGTCTTACCAGACCAAGGGCGCCCTAATATTACGGGCCGTACGATTGTTTTACTTTTGGTCCCAAACCATCCAACGGTATGTTTACGATCCACGTCATCTGCGCGCGGTAAGTACTTTATTTTGTTTAGACGTGGCTGGTTAGCGGGAAGAACACGTCGTCACTTTCCACTTCCCATTTTGGTTGATGGTTCATCACCGAATCGGAGCTCTTGATTCGTGGAACTTCGACGTTCTCTTCTTGCGGAACCTGCGCGGCCATACTCGGAGAAGGAGAAGAAATTGCGTTTCGAAGATGAGAAGAGGACCTTCAACTTCAACAATTTCTTCGTTTTTGTCGCTGAGGATCGCTCGTCAATCTTCCAACTCAGGCATTGATCTGATTCGTGTTCGATTCCTATCTTCGTCTTCAAAGCCTCCTGGTTTCTCTCTCTCTCGCTCTGGCATTCGCATTATTTGTGTGCATATGTAACGTGAAGTATGAAATTAACATGTAGTGTATTCGTGTTTTTGGAAGTTCACTCTCTAGCTAGTTTGTGCATAGTACGCTGTTATTGTGGTGATTACTGGCTAATGACTCATGAGAGATTGAATTCCTTGCTTGACGTGTCATGTTTACGATCATGATTCGGTGCGTGTTTGATCACTGAAGTTATATTAGTTCGATTTCTGTTATCTTTGGTACGATCATAAGAAGTTAGATTTGTTTTCATCCAACGAACGAATAGAGAGAGGTTAAAGCATTGATTGATCTCAATTTCTCAATTTCTCGAATTCGAACTTTCTGGTTGTCTTATTTTGTTGTCGGAGGGAAGGATGCGAAGTGGATAATGTTTTAATCAGTCATTTTGCCTGACCGCTTTAGGATATCCGAGTTCGTGTATATTTTAATTGATAGGCTTGGATTCCGTAATGCCATAGTCATAGTCACAGCTGTATTTCAGACTTGTAACGTGAAATTCGTTCTTTCAGGGCTATTGGTACATTACAGGCATCTAGTTGAGCGAGGGGAGCTACAACATGATCCTTTTCAAGAGAGAGTAGCTTCCGAATTGGAGAGTTTGCTTGGAAGGTTGGAGCAGTATGAAAAAGATATGGAAGATTATCATGTACTAATCGGAATTGTTTAATTCCATTATGATTTGAATGTCTGATATGTTTTTACTCTTACGAATAGGTTGAGACCTACTGCTAAAGCTCTTTTTTGAACCTCTTGCTTTCAAGGTAAAACTAGCTAACTGGAAACAGAATAGGGAGAATGAGAGGCGCAAACTTTTAATGGAGGAAGCTGAATCTAAACAACAGGGTGATGTCTGGACATCGGTAAACAAGCGCCAAAGCAAACTTGTTGAAACACTGATGTTTCGGTTAGGAACACTCCTTTTCAAAGTCACCATTCTGAACTTAAAATCTTCAGCAACTCTTTTGGCTTCTGATTATCATAAAATTTTTAGCATCTGATCTTTTAAAGTATTTATTAATTTTTTCCCTTAGGAATAAGTCTGAAAATATTGAACCTGGAGTCGGTAAATGGGTTTCATACCTTAACCGAGAGAGGAAGTTGGATTCACTTGTAGGGCGTTGTCCTTCTGCTCCACATGCTCCTAGGGGACTGTACATATATGGCAATGTTGGAAGTGGTAAGTTTCAGAATATGATAAATGTTTATGTGGCAAGCTTGGAAATTAGTTACAGTTAAATTCAGCCCACTATCATTTTCATTTTTCTCTAAGACAATATCTTCTACTCAAATTTTCTGCTAAAGCTAGTGCGTTATACTTAAGCATTGAACTAAAAGGGTGCAAATATTGGCATTCATTTACAGAAGACCAAACTTGCATCTACCTATTGCTTTCCCCAGGATATACATTAGAGTCTAAGCATAGTGATTTATGCTTATAATTTTACAATCAACATAATTTCTGATTCACTGAACTAATATCTAATAATCTAGGGAAGACAATGCTCATGGATATGTTTTACAATGCTACTAAAGGAATAGTTAAACATCGACGAAGGTACCATTTTCATGAGGTGAGCATTTATTTAACTTGGAAACATTTTGAACAAACAGTTGCAATTCATTTTCAACCATTGTATTATGATTTAATGAGTTTCAGAGATGCGTGCTTTATTTATTTTGAATTGTTATTGGTCTGAAATTTTACTTCATTGTTTGGCAGGCTATGCTAAAAATTAATGAAGATATGCACCAGATATGGAAAAATCAAGTGAGGGAGAAATCTTCACAATCAAGCATTTCGAGTTGGATTATGAATCTCCCCTTTGATACAAAAGTGAAGGAGTGGTTGGCTGCAGAAGAAAAATACAAGCAAGAGGTACAGATGAAAAACATTCTTCCTGCTGTTGCCGATAAATTTCTTGTTGATCAGCAAGCAGACCAAGTAGGAGCCAGCATTCTTTGCTTTGATGAGATACAGGTAAATGGAAATATCCTAAAGTAAAATTTCTGGCTGACGTTTTAAGAATAGTGGATCATTTGTTATGATGCATAAGTAGGAGAAGTATAGTTTCAAAATTATGGGGGCGAACTTAGATACTACGATTTCAGAATATGGAGTGAAATATGAGGTATTTATCATGGAAAAATGACTGTTGTTATGTTTTTGATATCTGAACCAAGTTGAGTTCAAGCTCGTTCTGTAAGCAAACATTTTGAAATGAGTTGCATATGATTCTATTCATTCATGATTCACGATGTATATTTATTTGCTTGTTCTGCTTTCTCTTTCAGACAGTTGATGTATTTGCTATTGTGGCCTTATCTGGAATTGTAAGCAGATTGTTGAGTACTGGTACAGTTCTTGTGGCCACCAGCAATCGAGCTCCAAAGGACTTGAATCAGGTACCATTCTAATTGAAATGTTGAAGGAGAGAAGATATACACCAACTGGTTATTAAAATTTTTAATTTTCCATGTTTTCAAATCTTACTGCTGATGAAGACTGGTATTCTAATTTTCAATTTAATTAGATTTGATTTTCTTCTCTATATAAATGTTAGTTTTATGTAGGTGAAATTGAGTCTTTGAGGGAGCCAAGTCCCCCAAAATATGCATGTTAGTTTGAGGGAATGGAAAGATATAGAAGTCAATATTTTTTATACCTACAATGAGTCAACTTTCTTCCCTATATAGGAAATTGTGAATGCCTATTGAAACTAATGAGTAAAACTATACGGACGACATGACTAAACAGTAAACAGTGGAAAATTAATTAAAATATCAACATGGCAACAGAGCATTAGTACAACTTAGTGAAAATCAAAACAAACAAAGGTACCTTGTCAACCATTAGGGCACACTAAGGACATGCTTCCCTTTCCTCTTCGGCAGCTGAGTTAGAAACAGTTCAATTTCAAACTGGAAAAATAATATGAAAAGAGAAGATGAGTTGTCCACCAAACCCATTGAGCTTTACAAAAGAGCTCCATTTGAGAGTTAATAATAACTTTCTTCTTCAGACTTGATAAGATGGGAGTAATATGTCTTTGATATGCTTTTCACCTTATTCTATAGATTGAAAACAAGAAGTTCCGTTATTATGTGCAAAAAGCAAACGCTCCCTTCTATAGAAGCCCAAGTTGTCACCACCTCTCACTAATGCCAGATTGAGCCCCCTTCACCAACTGCACCTACTTTACTTCCAGCTCCTACCCCAGTCCTGTCAGGCAACTGGCAGAAACATGAAGATCCTCTTCAATTCTCTTAACAGTAGGAAACTATAATTATCAAAAGGGACAGGGTGGTTGAACATTAGCAGAATGTTAGGGGGGAGGGTTCGAAATAAACCTCTTAGACAGTTGAGTCGACAAGCAGGTATGCAGTGAACTTGTACATGAAAATCACCATTTTGATTGTGTTGACAAATTATGTTAATGCAGGATGGCATGCAGAAGGATATCTTCCAAAAGTTTGTAGCCAAACTGGAGGAGCATTGTGAATTTGTTCTCATTGGAAGTGAGATTGATTACAGGCGCTTTATAGCTCAAAGATCTTTTGACCAGGTGAGAGCATGAACAGTGTAACAAGGTATTCAAGAAAAATATGCGCATACAATTTCAAAGTATACGTTGTTGAATGTACGTCTTAACCACAGGAACAACGTCTTAACCACAGGAATATTTCCACCTGACATTACATCGATTGTAATTTTAAAAACGATGATCTGGTCCATAGAAACTCATTTTATCATTAGTTGCTCTCTGAAGTCTGAATATCATTTGCACAAAGTCATATTATCATAATTATGAGTTATGAAGCATGGGGATTTTAGTTTAGGCAATGTTTTTGTGGCTCATAGAATTAGATACACCAATACTTCCTGGAGACCTAAGTTAAAGTGTTAGATCTTTTATGATTTTTAAAACCCAATTCGGGATATAGACATGACAAAAATTATTAAATAAGAGTAGTGAATTTTGATGTAAATCATTACTATTTTTTTAACCTTATAATTGTATGGATATATTTATTTTGAATTTTTTTTCCTATTAGATAGTGAATAATTTATGCTCTTCTATATTCTCAATATAAACTTTTGTTAATCATGTTGTATATTTTATTATATTGTATTTTAATTTTTAAATATTAATGCATAAATAGCCATTGTTGTACATAAAAATCACTGAAATGCATAAATATATTTAAAATTATTATTGAATAATCAGTCCTATTGTCTTCATTTCCTAGTTTTTGAGGAAGTGATGCCTTTTCATCCACTCAGGTTATTGTTGTCATTTCTCATTATGATAGGTGTCTCTTTTGCTATTTTATCTTATCCTTTTGTTTGGCTTTTCAATCTTTGAATTTCTTAAGCATGTGATATGGAGATGGTAAGTGCAATACATATGTATTGTTATGATCTTAGTTATTGTCCTTGATCAATCATTATTGGTTGTTATTACATTGGTGCATTTGATGGCTTTAACACCACGCATGGGCAGTGAAATGTTAGGATTCATTTACCGATCGCAATTTCTTTCCTACGGTGCTTTATATTTTATTCATTTATCATTGAATGCATGTATAGGTGCATTATTTCTGGCCTTTAGAGCTAACATCGGTGGGTAAATTTGAAAAGATGTGGGCCGAAATGACCCGCCAATTGGGAGGACAAATCACCTCTGAGACTATTTCTGTGATGTTTGGAAGGTACTTTCTAACTTAACGCAATTTTTTTCATTGAACTTGCTTTACGAATTTGTATATATATCAATCAGAAAATTGGAGGTGTCAGAAAGCTGCAATGGAGTGGCACGATTTGCATTTGATTTTCTCTGTGGTCAACCGGTATTTGCTTATCTTTGTATTATTCATATAATGGTGTACAATGTGCCTTTTTGGTTTCTGATTATGACACTTGTCTCTGTTCTTTGAATCTGGTTATGTGTGTCATTATATCACCTTTCTTTTAATTGGTCTCTATAGGTAGGTGCTGCAGATTATATTGCCTTAGCCCAAAACTATCATACTGTCTTCATATCCAACATCCCAATGATGAGCATGCGCATCCGTGACAAGGTATGAGCAAGCTCTTTTAGAAAAGCTTCAATTAGATAAAAATTAGGGCTCATATTGTCCTGGCAACATGCCCATGGTACATGCATATTAATTGAATGTCGCTCTCTTTGGCCCTTGACATCTTTGGTATCTTTATTTGATAGTTAAGGTTCAAAATGACTACTGATGCCCCATAGCATGGATATCTTTCTTGCTGCCCACTTATTTTACTCATTTTAAACTTAGAATTTCATTTTGTCAGGCCCGGCGGTTCATCACTCTCATTGATGAGCTATACAATCACCATTGCTGCCTATTTTGCTTGGCAGCTACTTCAATTGAGGACTTGTTTCAAGGCACTGAAGAGGGTACTCTTTTCGATTTGGAGAGGTAATTATTTCTCCTGTGTCTGGGTTGAACATTGCTATAAAATTTTCTTTTCCTCTTTTTGGGAGAAACTCTACGAATATGAATGCTGCCATGGACCATCATCACTTTTGGATGTTCCAGCTTTTAAGTGAATTTTCCAACTTCAGTTCAAGTACATCGATATATGAAGAAAGTATATTAATCATGACTTCATTTATGCTAAAGTGGCGTACAAGTATGACATATTTATGATCTCCATTTTTCAAATGAATATTGGCTAGAAGAGTTTGGCGAATGTAGTGCATGACAGTAAATAATTAATTCCAATAATATGTGATCTTGAACTTCCTTTTTCCATCCTTTCCTCCATTTTCCAGTTGGTCGGCATTTATGGTCAAAGGTTTTTGAGATCTTGTGTTAGTTTTGACTTCCCCCGTATTATGGTTAAATGCTACAAGAGCCATCTTTTTGGCGTGTGTTTCATTAGAAAGGAATGGGAGATCTTTTCCAGGAAAAGTTAAGGGAGTGGCAGGTCTGTGTTCAATCCTGTAATATTGTCACTTGAGTTGTTGGATTATGAGTTCAGTAATTAGTATGGGAAATAGCAGATGGTTAGTATATAATGAAATTTTTGCATGCATTCATTCAGTTTGTAATAATTCTAATTTGTGCTGTTTCTTATATTCGTCCAAACTATGTGTATATATCTTTCTAAGTCTTTTGACGAGATTGGTAGGAGATCAAGTATATTGGATACCACCACATCAACTTTATGCTGCTTCTGCTCTAAACCATTTGGCCAGCATGCAGTTTTTTAGGTCTTTTATGAGCGTATATGTATATTGTTGGATCACTTTTGATTCCCTTGCTTAGTAGCAAACGGTCCACGTCTTTTCAGTATCTTTTGAGCATCAATGTAGGTTTTGCAACAATGGTACGAACTTAGTATTTCTGGTTCCAGTTTTCAGTTCGAAACAGAGGCAGAAGGGGGAAAGCTTCGTCGAAATGTCCTAGAGGAAGGCAATGTAGGCTCCGTAGGTGCTCCAACTGCAATTGTGTCAATGCTATCTGGTCAAGAAGAAATGTTTGCATTCCGTCGAGCTGTAAGTTTCGTTTGTCTCCTTGGTTTCTTTAACGGTTCCTGTATCATTTGCATGAAGTCTTCACTTTTGATACTACACTAAAAATACTATATTACGAAGCAGACTCACTCCGCAGGTGTGGAACCAACAAGGAACCAACAAGGAACCAACAGGCTTGTTAATTTTTGGTTTCTGATATTAGTATGAAATTTATGCTCTGGCTCATTTCAAATCTGTTGCTATTAGTTTACTCTAGAACTGGTTACTTTTGGTGTTAAAGCATGGAGTTTCCACACAACCATAATCTCACCAATTGTCGGGGTCGATATTATCAGCAAGTTGTCTTATTTTTAAGTGAAGACTTTAGGAAGGTTGCGAGGAAAAATTCCTTTCTAGTCTTTTATAGAAACAAATTTTCCATTATAATCCTTGAATTTAGAAAGTTACCCTAAATATATATTCTTTTTGCTGATTCTCACAATTTTCCTGTTATCGTTAGTCTTCTATTATTGTGCTACTCTGTGAGTTTTACAAGATAGAAATATATATAAAGAAATTAAAATCTTTTGTTGGTGATATTGTTCTGGCATTTACAAATTACAGGTTTGCTCTCCTTGTAGGTCTCTCGATTGATTGAGATGCAGACACCTCTATACTTGGAGGGAGTGCGAAGCCTTCATCCATATTTTCAGAGACGAGAACAAGAATCGTTAGTCGATCGTGCGACCAAGTTCCATTCTCAGCTATCATCATGACTTTACAAGGTACTCCTCCATTCTGCAAGTTCTCTCTCTCATTTGGGAGTGGGATAAATAGGAAGGGGAGAGAGGTCTCCAACCCGATAAAATAAGATAAAATATTTAGGCCCCGTTTGGTAACCATTTCGTATTTGTTTTTCTGTTTTTGAAAATTATATTTGTTTCGTCACAATCTCTTTTCTATGTTTTCACCCTTCTTAAAAAATACACTTTAACTTGTTTTTGAGAACTGTTGTTTTTTTTTTCGTTTTCAAAATTTGTTTTAGATTTTGAAAACAATTTCAAAGAGCAGAGGCTAAACAAAAAAATACATACATAGGTGAAAATGGCGCTAAACTGAAAATCAAAAACAAAATAGTTATCAGATCGGGCCTTAACTCTCTAGAGCCAACTAGTCTATTCATTTGAGGCCTGTCTGTAAAAGCTGAACAACAGGGTAAAAATAGGGGAATTCAAAATAATTTCAAATTAGGTAGTATAAAAGAAATCGTAGTAACTTAATAAGCTTTATGCTCATTGCCTCCATCCTCTCTCTACCCGTTAATAATATTATATCTTTATCATCCATGGTCAATTGATTCTGTATTGAGCTGAAACCTGCAATTTTATTTATCTTTGGCACCTGAGTTAAGATACTTGGTAAGATTCCTTTTATTTTCATGTGTAATTCCACTTGCACGTGCATATTGAGAGTTTCTTGTCACAAATTGTTCGAAGTAAAACAAATTGTTTTTAACACATGAAAATAGCTTCAATATTCCTAAGAACCATAACATTTTGTGGTGAGGGTGGGGAGTCAGATCTTGAACTTGTAATGGAGATTACTAACGATTCAACTAGTAAAGTTATGTTCTAATTGACACGATATTATATTATTTATCAACATTATACTTTTGCATCCCTTTCTTGAGCGAAGCTAAAATAAATTTATCCATTCCATATGGAGTTACTAGTCCACTTGATAGTTATCATGTTTTTTAAAAAAGTGAACTTGTATATTGAAAATGTTTTTGAACTTGATCTTGCTTTGAAGTTTGATTAATTCATGTCAAAGTTCAAGTAAAACTTCACTGCACATTTTCTTTTTCCGTTCAATAGATGTGTTATAGATTTTGAGATAAAGATTACAATAATACATGGTAGGTAGTTTTGATAGAACTACTAAGACCATCTTTTGAAATAATTTTGAAATGATTATATTTTTAATGGTGTATTATTACCATTTGCGACCGAAAAAGGATTTAGATTTTATGGGTCTCTCAATGATTTTTTTGGTAGTATACAAATATTTCTTAAAATACTGTTCTTTATATTTATTGTAATGACTAATTCTCCATTTCAAATCCAGCGCGACATAGATAGTATAATAGACCTATTTGTTTCATTTTCATTTAGTTTTCTCTACTTTCAAAATATCTATTTTGGTTTTTATATTTTTATTGTCACTAAAAGTGACTTTTTTTGTCTTTCAATTTTAATTTTAGAAGTACATAACTATAATAAATGTTTCGGTGATCAAAAGAAAATATAGAACCAAACAAAAAGAAAACAGTATTTAAAGTAAAATAAAAAACCATGCAATTATTAAAATTTAAATTTAGCCATCTAAAGACATACAATTGCTAACCCCAGAGCTTATCACTTTATTTATTAATATTTCCTTTAAAGAAGGAACAGAGCCTTAATTCGGATGAGAAGAAAGGTCAACCTAATTTCTCAGTAATTATTTGGTTTCAAAGGAGAAGATAAAAATGATACTACGACACCTGATTAATTGCTGTAATCAGTGCGCACAAGCAGCAGCACTGCAAATTGGTGCAGTACAAAGTACAAGCCAAAGTGTAACCAACGATCTGAAATGATCCCAAATGGAGAAAATTTCCAAAAAAAAAGGTACTAACTTAATCACATAATAACATACCAAGAAAAACAAATCGTTCAAACGAAATCTGAAGAAATGATAAACATGTGCCCAATCTTGAAGAACGATATTTTAGCAGAAGTTGTTCATTATCGTTTTTCAAGTTTTTTTCCTTTTTCAGTAAAACAAAAATTGCATATGGTACAAGAGCGGTTCTTGTATTCTCTCATTTAGTAACTATAAATTTGATAGGCATTTGAATAGAGGACAAACTGAAGAAATGAAGGTATGCACTCAAATCTCGTAGAAAAGAAAACACGCAGAACCAAGCACATACCCTATTGTAACATAAAGATCAATCCCGACGCACTTCACCATGTACACACCAAGTCCAGATGAACTCTTATAACAATACAGATTTCATAAATCAAACAACCATTTTAACACCATCAGGCTACCGTAATATGGCAGAGAATTCTCAAAAATCGAAGCCGAAAATAGAACCCACTGTTTGGAGTAGTACATGTTCCTCAGATAGTACAGAAGCAACTTTGGCCAGTCTTTAAATTGGCTTGATCTTGAAGTGGAGTGAAATGAGAGAAAATACAAAGCATTTCAGATCCTACAGCCAAAGCATAAACGCAGATAAGATGTAAGCTGGACAATGAAGAGGGTGGAAATAAAAGAAAGCGTGGATATAATAGATAACATTCAAGGATCTTGAGACTGCCGACGACGACTTGCTTGTGAAAAAGAAGAAAAAAATTATAGATTGCCTGAAAGGCAGAAAAAAAGCTTCCATGCTAAAGTATACTACGCGGTGAATTAAGTTTTACCTGAACAAGATAATAGAATATCCGCAATCCTTCAGGATCCTTGCTGCTCTGCACATCAACAAGAGATCCAATCTTAGATGTGGTGAAGGATATATGCTCATTTCCCATCACAATCTCAAGCTCCTGTCGACCCACACGATCAGGTTCTGGCCAATTATTATCGTCTTCCTTCATAATCTGTACAGAAGTAATAATAAGCTAATTAAATTCCAAAAGATTATAAAAATGAATCATTTAGAGGCAAGTGACAAACAGAATAAATAACAGAACACTCTTCATCAAATTAATTAAGAAGAAACATCTCAAATATTGGTAACGTGCCTTTCTTTCTTTCTTTTTTTTTTCCCAAAAGTCAGTAAAAAAAATTGACATTTGACTTTCTTACACAGCTTGGAAAAAGGGGATGATAAATCTATGAGAAATGACAATAAATAACATTCCTTTTGGAGGAAAAATCATACTTCCATAGAGCAACTGAAAGGATATAAAACTGCCAAGAAAAGAAAAAAAAAAGCTCAAACGAGCTGAGCCAAACCCAAGAAACATCAATTCCAATCATTAATATTACACAAGGTTATGACATAAAACGTAGTTACATATTCCTTTTTGGGATGAGCTTGAAGCTCTTTCAAATCACTGCGCAGGGGTGTTGGTCTAGATGGAGTCCTAAAAGATCTTCAAGTGGCAGAATACATACAGGTCAAATCAATAAGATTATTGATAACCTTTCTCTGGTTTGATCTCCCTTTGTCAAATCAAATATCAATTTCACTTGGTCGTCAAACAAGGATCAACTGGTCTTCTCCCTCATAGACAGATTTTTCGTTAATCCAGAATGAAATATCAAATTTCATCTTTCTATAGTTAAAAGATTGTCTCACACCACATTGGATCATTTCCCATTCCTGCTGGGAACAGGGAACTCTAAATGTGTGTGTATTCCTTTTAAGTTTAAGAATGTTCGGATGCAAATCAATGAATGGAACATCAATTATCTAAGGTAATCTCTCCTATCTTTAATCTAATCTAATTAGCTCTCTCAAATGTCTTGATGATGACGAGCAAGGGGTTAGCCTCTCAACTTTAGAGCCCATTTCTGGAGAGAAGTGTTAATGGCTTGAAAGACCCTGTTCTGAGAAAGAAAACAAAGTTGCAATTGGTAGTTTCAAGTCTTAAAAAAATTCCTATTCTGGATGGCTACTCAAGAGAATTTTTGAACATGTCTTGAAACAACAACAAAGAGGATGTTCTTGTGGTGTTCCAAGACAATCTTAATCTTCTGTAGTGGCAAGCTGAGAGGTCAGATAAAAATTTCAAGAGATCTTAGACAAGGCAACCCTTTTACTCCCTTCCTATTTGCTAAATAGTTCACTTGATAAGGGCTTCCAAGGTGGTATCCTCTAAGGGTTATTTGATGTTGCTAATGAGTAATGACATTTTTTATATCGTTTATCGTCAATTCGTAAATGATATGCAACTTTGTCGAGTGATGATTCTACCAAACTTAACAATCTCCTCAAAGTTGTGAATCTTTTAAATTTCTCTTGGGCCTAAGGATAACTCGGCAGAATCAATCATTATCAGTCCTAACATAAGCGATAAGATGTATCCACAAAAGATCGCCCATCCTTTACTTGGGAAAGGAAGAAGACAGGTGGAATATTTCCATGGATTCCGGCTGTTTTGAAGAAATGATCAATCTGTATAGTTAATGGCGCTGAAGGCGGTGCGGGGAGACGATTCAAGGTTAATTTTTAAAAACGAAAAGGACCATAACATTCCGAACGATGAATTGTGGCACAATAATGCAAAACAAACCCCACACATCCACATAAAAAAAAAACCCTAAAAACCCTAGAAAACCCGATGCAAAGGAAATCCTAGAGAGATAAACGATCCAAACCTCGCTGTCGGAGATAATGCGACGGCATTCCCGAAGAACAGCAGGGGTGAGGTAGATTTCCTTGCGAATCATTGTGTCGTTCTTGTAGTTGGAGTTGTTAGCGTAGCGAAGCTTTCCGTCGGGTCGAAACTCGAACTCCAAGAATTCGTGTCCGAACTTCCCTTTGTGTCCCACATAATATCTCAAGTAAAACTCTCCTTTCTCCAAATCCTCAGCCGCCGCCATGGATGGCACCCGCTCTCAGCTTTCAGCTTTCTTCCTCTCCCTTGCCGGTTGCTGCGACTGCAACTCAAAATCCAGGGAGGGATTCGGAGATAGCGTCAATCAGAATGGGCCGGCTTTGACTTCCCTCGGCCCATCAACCCATTTCTGGGCCTGGCCTCTTTCTTGAAGCTCGAATCTGGAATGGGCTGACTTTTACTTCACTTGGCCTATAAATCCATTAATGGGCTTGGCCTTTTTCTTGAAGCGCGAATTCGGAATGGGCTGGCTTTGACTTTTGTCGGCCCGTCAACCCATTACTGGCTTGCGCGAATTGTTGTTTTTGCCCTCGTAGGAGCTTATATTTTCAATTCTATCCAAGTTCCAAGTTCCAAGGATCGGATTCCTTCCAGAAAGAGGGAAAAAAAAAAAAAAAAGTTCAAGAGAGGGAGATTCGCCTCTCTCCCCCTCGTAGAGCCATATTTTCGCTCTCTTGTTTCAACTCAAATTTCTAGTTGAACTGTTTGTCACTCAGTTCGTTCGAATCTTCGTCAAACCAAATGCCAAAGAGTATCCATTTCTCGGACCTCCTCTCGTGGCCGTTTTCTATGCTTGCTGTTTGATTGTTTTGTATGATTTTGGTTATGAATTAGGACTTAAATCTTTCATCTGCTTAGTTCCAATCGATGGGTGGGAGAGGAACTCAAGTTTTAGGCTATAAGAGAGATGGATTTTTCTCCGTCTTCGATTTGGGCTCGCAATGGTGTATCCAGGAGGGGCACTTCCACCCCGGGGGCTTATTCGCCAGCGTCGGCCAGATGGGAGTCGGATTCGGCATCTCGACGAATTCTTCTAGTTCCATTGACCATGATGACACTAAGCCTCCTTACACGAATTTGTATATGAAATATGTGTCGTCTACTGAGGGTATTAATGTTGAGGAATCTCTTGTGAAGAAGAAGAAGAAGAAGAAGAAGAAGAAGAAGAAGAAGGGTGGTCTTGAATTGAGAATTAAGGTCGAAAATCCTTCACTTCGGAGGTTGGTAAGTGGTGCAGTTGCTGGGACGGTGTCGAACACTTGTGTGGCGCCATTGGAGACCATAAGGACTCATTTGATGGTGGGTAGCAGTGGTCATTCTGTCATGGAGGTGTTCAATGATATTATGAAGAATGACGGGTGGAAGGGATTGTTTAGGGGAAATTTGGTTAATGTAATTCGGGTCGCACCCAGCAAGGCGATTGAGGTACTTGAAACTTGAAACTCCAATTCTTGTTTCCTTTGTGTATTGTTTTTTTAATTTGCTGTGTTTTTGTTTTGGTGATATTGCACATGGAGTTTAGGATAGAAACCTCTGTTTTTGTTTGTCTACTCGTTTGTGTGTGTGGATGTTCCCTGTTGGATAATTGCTTATTGAAGTGCTTTATTGGATTTTGTTAAATTTATTCCTTTTGTACATTCTCAACATTCCCATCCATATGTTGGCTGAATTTTTGTGTGATTTACAAGATCTGGTATGTAACGTTCATGAATTGGAGGAGGAAATTGTTGTAGGAATTCGAACTTAAGACCTCCTGATACTTTATTAAACTAGATCCAAAAGCTGAGGGAGCTAAGTTCTGATTAATTTGATAATTTATATATTCTTAATGGTCTCCTTCTTTTGCGTTCCTTAACATTAAAACTAACTGACTCTGATAATAGTTAACTAGTTATGGCTTGGATATTGTTCAGCTGGGGTCTATTATAGACTTGCTCCAAGATTGTTATTTTGATTGCAAGTCAGTCTTAGAAACTTGATGAAAAAATGGCTATAGTTGATGAATTGTGTTAGATTAGATTAGATGAATAAGGTTCGTCTTGATGCTATCGTTCTTGTATTTTACGGATTAGATGATATAATCTCTAGATGGTTAAACTTGTAATTGGGCATTGAGCATTGTGTTTGAAACTTGTCTATGTATAATTTTTAGATTACTTTTCTGAGATTCAAGAACATATGTAACTTACCTAATAAATTTTCAAATTGAAAGAGGAAACATTTGTCACAGTCTGCAGTGAAAAGTGCTTTTACTTATTCATTTCAATGCTTATAGAGTTATATGTTGTTCTTTCTGCAGCTTTTTGCTTTTGATACTGTCAACAAGAACTTATCACCCAGACCAGGTGAAGAACCAAAAATTCCAATCCCTGCTTCATTAGTTGCTGGAGCCTGTGCCGGAGTTAGTGCAACCCTCTGTACATACCCTCTCGAGTTGCTGAAAACCCGATTAACCATTCAGGTAGTTGGAAAATTTTAGTGAACTGAAACAACTATATTCATTCTCTAAACAACATTACAAAGTCTCATGCTCTTGCTATGGGCTCTTGCAGAGAGGCGTTTATGATGGTCTACTTGATGCTTTCATTAAGATACTTCAAGAGAAGGGACCTGCAGAATTCTACAGAGGCCTCGCTCCCAGTTTGATCGGAGTGATTCCATATTCTGCCACCAATTACTTTGCTTACGATACATTACGAAAAGCCTACAAGAAGATATTCAAGCAGGAAAAAATTGGCAATATCCAAACCCTTTTAATAGGATCAGCTGCTGGTGCCATCTCAAGCAGTGCGACGTTCCCGCTGGAGGTAGCTCGGAAGCAGATGCAAGTCGGGGCTCTCAGTGGACGACAAGTCTACAAGAATGTAATCCATGCGCTTGCAAGTATACTTGAACGGGAAGGCGTTCGGGGCTTATATAGAGGGCTTGGCCCCAGCTGCATTAAGCTGGTGCCTAACGCAGGAATTTCCTTTATGTGCTACGAAGCTTGCAAGAGGATTCTCGTAGACAAAGATGATGAAAATTAGAAGGTAACTTTTACATTAAACTTTGGTGGGCATAACCACATTTCATCTCCCAACGTTGGATAATTGGAGAAGAAAACCAATTTGGGCCTAATTAAGGAGCCATTGTTCCGGTATGTTTAGAATTTTGAGTCCTAAGAGATTCGTTATTATTCATAAATGCATTAGAATTTGGAGGAAAGAACTTGTCCCATGGTTAAAGAGAAGTTCTAGAATGATTTACATCGATTACTTTTTTTAAAACGATGTAAAAATATGGTACAACTATAATTTTACTTAATGTGTAGTGTAAGTTAATTTTGCTTGGTTCTTGTAGTGTGAGAACTTCAATTTTACTCTTTAAATTTTGGAAGTTTGTGTATGTATATTTTTTTTATTCTCATGTCTACTGTCTCTCATTGCTTTCAATATCTAGGGCCATAAGATTTATAATATATTTGATATGGCCTTAAGGGACAGTTGGGTTGGCAAGAGTTTGGGTTTTTGGTCGTATTTGGCTTATAAGTTTCAAGTTTGAACCTTTTGACGAGCTTAATACCAAAAATCCTGTATCCCAGATACGGACCTTGGGGCGGGCATAGATATCCCTGAATATAGGCATAAAAGTTTAACACATCATTTTTTAAAAATCACGATGAAAGAAGGTTATCTTTCAGAATCACAATTGCTCTATTCAAGGGCTGTGATGGAGCTGTCCATATTAAGATGAACCTAAAATAAGAAGTGAAAATTGATTGGTAGCATACTGGATCGAACGAGTGATTTTCTTGCTTGCTATAAATTAGCGGTCCATAATCCCAATTTTTTGGTGATATCGTTTAATTTACATGTGCCGGTTTGAATTGCCTTAGTTAATCTTGTGTTTCTTTGATAAGAGTGTACCAGTTCCATCCGCCTTGAATTCTAAAGTTCAGATGCTGGGACTGATTCTTCCAAGGAAGAAGGTGAAGAACTTGTGATGTCTCCCATCAACCGTTATCATCCATCTTTATGAAGACCAATCTAAGGATTTCTATTCTATTTGCAGGCAGTAAAAATAGTGCTTAAGACCAACCTCCAGCTGCAGGTAAGAACATGAATCTGACTTTATAGGAAACTGAGAAGGAATCTGCTTCTGTTACCAAGGTTATAAATCTATGTTTATGTCATGGTTATCTCAGCTTTAATTTATTTTTTTATTTTTTTAATCGAAGTGAAGAACAAGAGATTTTTTTTTCTTTGATACATAATTTTTCACCTTTATGAAACATGGAGATCTTCAGATAGAGGTGAAATGATCAGTAGTAGAGCATAGAATACATTTCTGGTGCTGAAAACTGTGATGTGAATCCACTGAACATGAGAAATTAAATTATAATTTCACTGTCATAACAACTTTGAAACAACAAAAAATCCTCGTCTGTCTGTCTGTCTGTTCATACAGATTCCTGATATAAATAATTCCTTTTATCTATTTTCACTAAACAAATGAGACTTCACAATACTGCACAATAATATTATAACATCCCAATACAACTTCAAGACACCAACAAATTCTGGTGCAAAGACCTGTAAAAGACTCTTAAAAGGTCATCATTTCTCATTTTCTTCATCTTGGTTCCTCCCTCCCGAGGGCTCTTTTCCAATGCCATGATTTTTTTCGTCATATTCACAGGAAAATCAGCATACTGCGAGACAAAACTACGTCGAAATCGTCTAGCAATTGATACCACATTGGCCATTGGCAGCCTTGGTCGAGGCCGAGGTGAATGGATCAATCCGCACCCAGAGCAAGGAGAATATGGAAGCAAGAAGAATGGACCAGACGATGACGATGGTAGGAGTACGATTTTGCCTTCCCAGTAAACCCTTTAGGAAAGGATATAAATGGACGATAACCCACAAAGCAAAGAACAGCTTACCAAAAAGGGGACCCCAAGACTGGTAACCACTGTTAATGGCATATGAAACACCTGCTACTATACCAACCATATTCATGATAAGGACAGTGGTGGGAGGGATGAGGAGAGAAGTCCATTTGAACACATAAAGCTCTGCAAAATCTCCATCGTCGTCGCCTGCCTTTGACGTCACAGTGAAGTTCGTATCGATTCCAGCAAGAACCTTTAAGAGACCTTGGAAGACAGCAAAAAGATGAGCTGAAGTACCACCAATGACCCAAAATTGTTCATTTCTCCACCAGTCTTCAATGCTAACTCCACTCCACCTAAGTTCAAGAATACCAGTTGCGAAGATAGAGACGAAAAGGAGGATAAACCACATACTCGCGAAGTTGCTTATCTGCAAATTAGGTAGCGAAAAATAACATTACTTAAAATGGAGAAACACAGACATATAGGATGTTTTTGACTGACTGCATATAGGATGTTTCTGAATTTGGATATAATGGAATGGTTTATTTTATCATAATAGCAGATACAGGATTTCTATTATCATCCATTGACTGTTTATCATCATTCTTTCTTTTAAAATAAGTAATTTAGGGGAGGAAAGCCAAGCCCCGCCCATAAAAACACTTCCAAGTGGCATAAATATGGTTGTTTATCGTCATTTTGAAAGGTTGTATTAAACAGAACAAGTCAAGATACAGATACATCTGCAAAATATATGAAAAACTTGTCATAAAGAGAAAACTATCGGTTACCTCAGGAATGATGAACTTTCCAGTCAAAAGACAGAAAGCCGGAAGCATACAGTATGCAATAAGTGGAATAGAAGTGATGGGGTAGACGATAGTGTTGATGTATGCTATCCTCTCCAAAAGCTTTAGCCTTCCATTGTAGCCGTACCAGATAGGACAATGCCTGCTGAGCAAGATCTCTATGGAACCCAAAGCCCATCGAAGCACCTGATTTAAACGATCAGAAAGATTGATGGGAGCAGATCCCTTGAATGCTGGGCGTGGAGGCATGCAGTAGATCGATATCCAACCACGAGCATGCATCTTAAACCCAGTCAAAATATCTTCTGTTACAGAACCATAGATCCACCCAATCTAGAAGTAAAAAGCAAAATGTTAGATCTGAGCTTATTATGACAATAGTTTCATCTGTGAAGTGAGCAGCGAAGAAGAAAGGAGGGTGAGGAATGTATGCCTAGTAGAAACTAACCTCCTTGCCCCATTCAGTCTTATCTTCATACCCACAGCTGATGACATGAATTGCTTCCTTTAAAAGAGTTGCAGGATTGGTTGAAGGTGGAATACCTCCCTGTTCCATGAAAGTGGCTGCGATGAAAACTGGAGATTGGCCAAAACGCTTTTCTAAACTCTTCTGAGACATCAGGAGTGATCTCTCATCATCGTATCCTGAGGGACACAGCAAAATAAGGTAAACATCCTATTTTATCATTGTATGGTGAAAAATTTAACTTTTCTCCTTGCTAACGACTCTCTTAGATATAAAAGAAAAGGCATACTCTAATTCATCAATAAAGCTTATCATATACATCAGTTACAGATAAGAGAATGTTTAAAATAATGAATACAAACACAGAGTATTTTGAAGGAAAACCAACCTTCAACACCTTCCTCGATATCTTCCATATTAAAGATAGGAATGGTAGATTCAGTCCTTTTTGCAGCTCTCTTTTTGTCAATGTACTTCTTGTTCCTGCCCTTCTTTCTTGAACCACAACAACTCTTAATGATAATATTTGGTTCCAAATCTGCCTCGGTCAGAACCGGATCATACCCATATAAAGCTTGCCGGTTGAAACAACAACCGGTACCCACATAGACAGGACCCTGGAGGCCATCCAACCCTTTCAAGTTGATCTGAAAAGAACAGCAAAAATGAACACAAAGTCAATGACAAGTAACAAGCCAAAACCCCAAAACACTAGAATTACATGAAGAAATGCAATTGAAATGCACAATGACAAGTAAAATAACCTACATCGAAAAAGACAATATTGCGATTGGCATATCGATCGTGCAAATCAATGCCATCAAAACGTTGTGGGAATTGTACATAACATGTTTTCTTTCCATAAGCAGGGTCCATCATGAAACACATGGCTTCTTTCAGAGCTTTGCTGTTGTTAAAGTAGTGATCACAATCGACATTAAGAAGATATGCTCCATTAGTTAGCACGGCAGAAACTCGAATCTGCAGATACGATGAAATCAAGTCATATAATAATTAAAGAAAACCACCAAAATACACTTTCACATCTTCCTTTTTTTTTTTTTGCTGGCATATATTATAAATCAAATTATTCTTGTAACTGTCCAAGTTATTGTTAAGCTCTGAGAATTCCTAATCTTTTTAACTAATGATTTATTCAAATTTTTGTATCTTTTATGCCATGATTGTATCAAACAAGGATGACTGACCAATGCATTCATTGCTCCAGCTTTCTTGTGATGCTGGAAGCCCGGTCGCTTCTCACGAGAAACATAAACAAGTCGTGGTAGTTCATTGCCATCAGTATCAAGACCTCCACTGTGGCCTAAAAAAACCTGTATCATTCCAGGATGATCTCTAGGATTGTTTCCTGGCCATGGGGTTCCATCCTGCATGGTCCATCCTTCCTCGGGCATCTTCTGTGCTTTGGCAACAAGGGCATTTGTCCGAATCTTGAATTCTTCATACTCTCTCTGTAAAACAACAATTTAACTTTTCAAGTCTATCAAAAGATTAAAAAAATACATATCCACCTATTTATCGTTCTAAAATAAGAGGAATAAATAAATTTGGGGGAACCATAGAGCATGCTTTGCAGTTTCCAGATTATATTCTTATTATCCAAAGCACATACACCAAATGTTAAGAATTTTAAGATCTCAAACGCTATAAATGTTGAGAAACTATTGCTCAATGCTATCTCATAAAATGTGCATATTTTGCTTACCTTCATTGCTCGACGTTCTTTGACAAAAGAAGGTTGAATCTTGTCCTTTAAGTAGTCTATCTTTTGAGCAAAATAAAATTCAGGGGCTCTTGGCTCGATGTTGTGCTTCTTGCAAAAGGGCACCCACTTCCTTGCAAATTCTGCAGTTTCAGAGAGTGCTTCGAAAGTAAGCATCGCTGAACCATCATCTGATACATAGCAGGAGACTTTATCTACTGGGTAGTCCACAGCAAGTATGGAAAGTACAGTGTTTGCTGTGATAAGAGGAGGCTCTTTCAGTGGATCCACTGTACTGACAAAGACGTCAACAGGAGCTAATTGTGATGGTTCGCCTTCGCGGTCATATCTGCATAATGAAGAAAACAATTGACTAAACAGTAGAACTAATTATCACTAATCTTGCAGTTAAATCCCATTTGATTTTACACCATATGCAAAAAAATGAATTGACCTTAGAGCGAGTCTCTCGAGAAAGGTCTCACGATTGACGGGAGACCATTTTGGAAACTGATCGAGAAGCCAGGACAAGGCAAACCAAACTTCACAAATAACTGATGTTAACCACAAGGGGTATGCGTCCTTCACAGGGTGTGTCAAACGGTACTGTAAGAAGAAGCCCAGAATAATAAGTCGAAGTATGATCACAACGCGATATGGGGTCAAGTGAGAAGATGGAATTGGAACCACACGACTTAGAGGTTGTCTAGCATCATCAGCCCTGTAAGAGAGAATAAATAAATGAAGTAAAAAAAAATTAGCATAACTCATATGAAGGCAAAGTTAGATTAAGGGCATATATTTATAATGGAGGAAGGGCAACAAGAAATAAGATTCTACTCTGTAGAGTAAAATATTCATCATATTTCTATATCAACATAGGATTAAAAAGAATTTGGGAAGAAAAATAACATGTTTCATTTTTTATCACCAGTCAAAGCTAACTATATATATATATATCTAACATGCTAGATTTGGAAGAAATTCTTACATTTGAAGTTCTTCTCCATTTGATCCAGTGCCTTCCATGTCCCCCTTCCCTTCAGTGTACCTGCTTGTCATCTGCATCATGTTTTTCTCTTGTTTCAGTTTCCAACCTTCCACTCTTTCCTTCCAGTCAACGTTCCCAAGGCCATAAGAATTCAAGTCCTTTGATGGGTCCACAATTCTCACAGGAACTGTGATACAGCAAAATGTAATTAGTTCAAACCTAAACAACAAAGAAGCTTCCTCTAAGATTTTCATGAAAAACTCAAGCTTTAATTTTTATACCTGGCTGCCGTGGATCAACATATGGATGCGAGTGCATATGCTTTTCTGGAGGCCCCAAAGGACCTGATGTTGTTCGCACTGATTGATTGTCAGGCGTAGCACAAGGAATTTCGCCCGATACCTAAAAAAGCCAATGTTAAATATATTCATAAGATATTAAAAAACCAAGGTTTAAACATGAATGTATAACTCTACATCAATGTTTTAAAAGGCTAAAGGCGGCCTCGAGGCTTTTTCTCTTGAAAAGGCGAGGCGTAAGCCTCAAGGCGGTATGAGGCGTAAGCCTCAATTT